CTCCTACAACAATGTCAGCGGCTTTACTGGGATTTAATACCCGCAAAATCCGGAGCACTAGAGCCTCTGATATGGAAAGGCCCTCCAGGAAAGAGCCCTGAGGAACTTCTGTCTACAAACTGATGTGCGGCATCTGAGACTCTCGAACATACACGCCTGCGTACTGTTCACCGAGCAAACCAGATTTGTCGTAGTCTGTGACAGCAGCAGAGCCGTCAGGGTCAAACAACACCGGAATGGACGAGTTTATGTTGCCTCGCTTTTTGACATAAGCGAAAGAGCGTTTTGGATTACATGAGATTGTACGAGCAAGCTCAGATTTATTTTGTACTCGAGCACATCGCAGATGCTGCCAGTAGGCATTTAGAGCCACGCGGTAGCGCTGCTAGGTGCCTGATGAAGGAGAAGATAAATAAGTTCGCCAACAACTAATACGTCCGTTAAGTTGTTTGCGTGCAGCAGAATCAAACCAGGGTGGATTTGCCCTAGTTTTACTTCTCCAAGTGATATGTGATGGAGATCTCAGATAGGTAGGAGTTAAACTTGTTCCAAGCTGCCTGAATATTGTCAGTTTCCAAAATGACGCGAGGTGATTTTGCGGTCTTGGCTTTTGTTGCTTGAAATTTCGCGCGCCATATATTTGGACCACCAACGGGACGACCATTAGTCATAGGATTAAGAGCGCACTTGAAGGACAGACAAGCGTGGTCGTTAGCACCGAGAAGTGAGTTGTATACAAGGGCCGTGATCAAGTCAACGGATTTAGTAAAGATAAGGTCCAAGAGGGACGGGTTTTGTGCCATCATGAATCTAGTGGGCCGATCAACGAACTGATAAAGGCTAGATCGAGCACAGTAGCAAAAGGCCTTAAAACATCACCGCAGAAAAATTCTGCCAGTTAATGTCGGGGAGACTAAAGTCCCTCATCACTAAACCCCTATTCACCGAATGTTCACGGATAAAAACAATGAGACCACTAGCAATACTATCGGAGCACCTATAGACCAGCACAAATTTAACTCGCACGGATTCAATACCCAAGGAATCTGCGAGTGCCTCAACAGAACCGTTTGATGAGCGGAAAGTATGTCTTAAAGACAGTAAGGGTGGGGATGACATACAAATCAATATCACCTCGATGGTCGGTAGTGCGGTCACACCGCAGTAGTGCGTAGCTTGGTAAGCATACTTTACCGTCCGTGACGTCTGTGGACAATCACGTTTCAGTCAATGCGAGAACATCTAGACGGCAGTTGTCGAGAAGGGCGCCGACTTCGCTCAGCTTGTTTCGAAGGCCACGCACATTACTGAAGATCACCTGTAGGGATTTGGCATCGCGAGCCCGGGATCGTACGCCACCAGAAACGGTTCTGGCAGGGAGGAAGTGGACCACCGGCTCAACACCCGAAAACCCACTAAGCGGAGACCCTTTTCACCTGCTTCACGACGGGCTTTAAGATCTTGCACAGCCTCCAACAATTTCAGCCGCTCCGCCAACGGGAGATCTGGGTGCACAATGACACCAGTGCCTGTAAGCTTAAGGGTGAAACGTCGAAAAGCTTAGCGCTCCTCCGGAGTGGACAGAACAACACGCAACAAGCGAGATACAGACTTGTCAGCCGGCAAGTTACCGACTCTGGTAAGTTTTCGCACACTCACGACGGGAAAGCCTGGCAGCCTGCACTGAAGATCATCCAGCATACGCTCTTTTAGAAGAACAGCAGATTGATTAGTAGCATTCTTGAAACTAACACTGCAGGCAGTATAAGCGTCTCCGCGACGCGGTATTTACCGAACGCTTTGTGGACGTTGGCGGTTTGGGTTTAGCGTCCGGTTTTATAAACTCCATCGTAGACGAATCCAAATGCGATGAGACATCAGTAGTAGCAATGAAGAGGAATAAGGATAGGGCGCCCGACGGACGTCCTAAGTCTGCTTTGGGTTTTGTCACCCTCTTCCGCTTTCCTTTAAAAATGGCAGAAGCCCGCTTGTCTCCCTCGCTAACAGACGAATCAAACAAGCTATCTGGGGGTTCAGTGCTAAGTGTCGTTACTAATTGGTGTACTGACAGTAGACTGTGAGTAAACAGACGCCGGGTCTGACAACTTGCAAGTATCTTCCACTGTCTTTAGACGGAGAAGACCTGAGTGGCTCAGACACATCACAATCATACCAGCTTTCCTGTCTAGCGATACATCAGGCTTTCCAGAGAAAGAGGACTGTTCTTTACTGGCGTGTAACGCTCAGTCCTACCCACTCAACAGTCACCACAACTGGATAGTATACTCTCGGTACTAGCTATAAGGACGTAATGCATCGGATCCAAGCCAGTACAGTCCTCATGGAACCAACGGCCACAGATTTCTCACTGCATGCCCCCGGACGATTCTGTAACCGCTTTGAAATACCCCATTTTGCCACATATAACCAACGAATCGGCGAGTTTGGATAGCACTCGACAACCATCTCCACAGAAAGGAGTCAGAAAATGGAGTGGATGTAAGAGATAAGCAACAGAACTGTTAACCAGTTTACGGTGACCAGCTATGCAATCGACGAGAGCACCAGTCGGAAAGACCAAGTGTGACACGTATGTATTGAAATGGACTCACCAAATTGTAACAGGCGTCACAAAGTCGACGTGCATTCCAGGGATTGGCAACAGGTTCTTTGCGAAAGAGCAGAGACAAAACAAAATCACCCGCCGGAGGCAAAGCAGGGAACCAATGGAAATAATGCCCCGTCAACAGAACAGTAGCCCGAAGGAAAGGAGGGAATTTCACGGATAAATCCACAAGGAAACACGAGTAAACCACAGACGGATTCCGTGAGTCTAAGATTCCATTGTATGGGGCAACTACAAGCCCGTATAACAACAAGACACAAAGTTCAATAGCTGTTAAGCGTTAACCAAACACCTACCTAAAGCTTAAAGAGTGAAACTCGAAGAGTGAACCATGGCAAGCATGCCGTGACAACTGAGGTAACTCAGGCAGGAGTGCACCGCGAACTTACTGTCTTGATGAGAGTGATCCACTAACTGATGGAACAGAGTAAAGTTAGCCTGCCTCTTTAGAATATGCTTGTAAGTCAAATTTGCAAGCAAAAATAGCAAGGAGCTTGAAGGCGTCGGATTATTAGGATTGGCATACAGCTGGGTCGCATTCCGGATGCATACGTATATAACACAACAGTAGTCATCATGAGAAACTGTCTAACGTTTCTATGTTCAAATAATACAATTGGGTAATGCATCATACAGAAATCTCCAGGCAACCACATTCCTCCCCAAAATCCAGTTGAAATTCCTTGACTTTTGCGGGATCTATTCACTCGTATCTCCCCACCATCACTAAATTTCGTGTTCAACAAGACGGAAACTAGGACTTCTACACTTCGGTGCCAGAATCATAGTCAGCCAGATTGAACCAAACTGGCTTATGATACTGATCCGCAGTTGGGACAAGGTTTACTAAAAAGGTTAGACCGAATGGCAGAGCGCACTGATCAATTTTCTTTGAATTAGTAGGCAACATAGATGAGCTTTGGCTACCCTCCTAAGGTATATAACTAACGTATCAAAGGCAGCAGCATTCCGCAGGGCATAAGCTAGGCTGCTGCGCAACTACGACCGGTCCCACGTGGGCTACGGATACTGCGAGGGTCGCTCTGCCTCTACGCAGACGAATCCGCCCCGTCAGATTACAAGCTTGCTGTCTTTGGGCTAACCACAACGCAGTGAAACAAATGTAACTCCCAAAATATATGACAGCTATAAGTTTTATTATAATCAGGAAAAACTGAAAACTCCAGAATATGTGAGATGCAAGGTATGAAAATAGCAGGTAAGGGATCACAGTTTATGTTTCGCCCACTCCAGGAATCCACCTTTGAAATTGAGGGCTCTATAGAGCGTGTTCGCTTTAACACACTGCTTACCCTTTGTAACCCATTTCGTTTACTATTCTAACGGCACGAAGACTTCTTGCCCCGCTCCGGCAAGTGAACACTATGTTTTTAGCGCCTGTTTTCGGTTTAGGTATGCCATATTGCGATTCAAACGCGTCCGGTTCCATCAGAAAAGCGTCCTCAATATCGCCCACTAAACTTTGCTGTCGAATATAAGACGGACCACGTACGCGGTATGTTGACAGCTCCGGGAATTTCACCTGTCTCTTCTAATTCGGTGGGTTCGCGAACATCGATCAAGATAATGTCTTTCGAATTCATCATCTCTTTCAGTTTTCTTATGTCTATGTTGACGGCTGTCTCATGCTTTCCAAAGAGAGAGACTACAAAAGGGCAAAAGAAATGAAATGATCGAATATTACCACTGTGACCAAAGCTGGAATGACACAATGGTCGAGTTATATAGCACGGGTTTTGAAAGTGAATCGGAGTGCACAAGATACGTGAAAACAAAGACGAGTCAGAAGCATCCCACCACAACCGTGAAAGTAATGCCCATGATGAACCAACCAAACGTAGGTGGCGCAACATCACTCTATGACCACTTACATACATCTCTAACGTCGAATAGCAGAGGAATGCATACGGCGGCTGCAATGACAAATAGCCAAAGTAAACCTTTAGCCTTTGCCATAGTGCACTTATCTGCGTTACAACCACTTGGGTTGACCTTGGGTTGACCTACCAGGTCAGGTCAGGTTTACTTTCAATTAGGAGATAAACGACATATTTTCTCATGAAGATTCCCTCTTATGCGTATTGAGGAGAAATTATAAAATAAATGCAAATTAGATAACATAAATCTGCAAACGACAATACTCTTGGCCAAACGATATCCTCTCCAGCTGTTCGCGCTTCGCAGCTTAATCATTGTATTTTATCGTTGTATGGTAGAGACCAGAATGACAGTCCGTTATCAGCTCCATCGCTTCCCAGTCATAGCGCACATCGCTGCTGTCATTGCGAATTTAGGGTTCGACAATGAACGTTAAAGCTATATGGTTAAGCAATATTCAGACGTTATCAGGTGGGAATCCATCCGTTTCTTGAAACTTTCTTTGGAGTGCGCATCAACGACGAGCTCCGGAAAGCGATTTCGGTCATTAACCACACGCGTGGATAGCGCTAGCTCTGACCGCACATGGAGTCTCCCTGACTTCAGTTGGCTACGGAACTAAGTGTACCGCCCGCTATGGTGTTTCAGAAATCGCTTGACAGCTGTGCATTGTCTTCCGAAATGAAGGAAGTTGTCATCTTTCCCATCTTCAAAAAGGGGAACAGGAGTCTGTCTGAAAATTACAGGCCAGTTAGTTTGACGAGTGTTATAGTCGAACTCCTCGAGAAACTGGTGAGCGATTTATTGGAGTGTCATCTGCGTAGATTTAGTCTACTTAGCAATGTACAACACGGATCCTTTAAGGGAATTTCGTGGCCGACAAATCTACTGGCGGTTCGTGAAAGTTGGGCAACTGTAATGGATAAAGGGCACGCACTGAACGTGCTTTCCGTCGACTTTTCGAAGGCATTTGTCAAGGTACCCTATTGGAGACTCGCGCAGGAGCTGACCTCCTACAGGGTATCTGGGCGCGCCCTTCACTGGGTGACCGCCATCTCGGAGGGTAGAGAACAGCGTGTACGGGTAGACCGGGGCCTGTCGTTTGGGCATTCTGTCCCCAGTGACGTGCTGAAGGGCTCGGTCCTTGGACCGCTGCTGTTCTCCATCTATGTGAGTGACCTACTGGCGGAGCTTGAGGAACCACCGCTGCTATTTGCTGATGACCTGAACCTGTGGAATATTGTCGATGTTTCTGGGGGCTCCGAAGCTATTCAGCGATCATTAGATAAGCATTGGGACTGAGCTACATTATGGTTACTGCGCATAACTCAGGCAAAGTGCTCCGTTCTTCGAATTCGTGGAGGTTGTTCTCCTACGAAATACTTGGTCGGGGGTCGAACTCCCCGTGTACCTAGCCAGGTTGAAATAGGCATCGTACACTCTTCGGCTCTACACGCCGGCAACAACTGGAAGGCCGCAAGCAGAGGTTTCCGCATGTTGTGGTTAATACAAACTGCTTTCGGTGGCTTGACGAGCGGCACCTTTACGGGATTGTTCTCCGCTTTCGTGCTGCCTTATCTGGAATCCTGCGTCCAGGCTTGTCCGCCCTGCCTCGTCCGGGACAAAATGGAGCTAGAGTGGGTTTTACCAGCGGGTACTAGTTTAGTCGAGGGGTTACAGGTACGGACGTACCCAGAGCGTCTACTCAGTTTGGGAATTCATGCCATGAACTTCCGAAGACTTATAGGAGACCTAATCCTAACAGACCGTATCTTAACTGGGAGGGTCGGTCCAGACTTATCCGGGCTATTCAGTCCCGCCAGATTGTCTGTTCTGCACGGTCATTCTTTGAAGCTGGACAAGACGCGATCCGATCGAATTAGGGAGGAAATCCGGATGTCACGCAGAGTTATAGACCGCTGAAAATGCTTCCGGAAAGTGATATCAGGGAATCTACCGTTAAGGAGTTTGAGCGGCAACTTGACACTCTCGGGTGGCAACACGAAACATTTCCATTTTCCTGAGTAACTCGCATCTTCATACTACGGTTTTCTTTTCGCTACTTTTCTTCACGCTTTGGTATTATTTTCTTATTTAAGGTGCACTTCTTACTCTGTGCCTTCGAGTTCTCTTCCTGTCCTTTGCTTATTTCACCTGACTGCCATAGCAGGGACGGCTAGGGCAAGAAACGTGCGCATTAACTGGTTCGCCATGGTGCGATACGGGTGTGCCGTTTTAGATCCAGTGCTCATTTAGCACTTCATCAATTCCTGGCTCAACGCTTCACCCATGGTGGAACACTCACGGGATTCTCGCATCGTTCCAGTCCCACTCGATCTTGAACTTAAGTTTGAACTTGAACTTTTCCCAGCTGTGACCACGTGTCAATCCTTCAAAGCTCAGATGAAAGAACTGCGGTACCTCGCTTCCTATCCCCCCTCTTAGGATACATCGAGTGTAGATCAAAGCTCCGCGCTGACGACGGTTATCAAGAGCTAACGTGTTTAATCGCTGGAGACAGAGAGGATAAGGTAGGCACCGCAGCTCTGGCACACATTTAGATCCACGGCGTTGGTCCTTCTCAATCATTTCGCATCCGGTCTTCGTGAGAGGCTAAGCAGCTGGCAAACCCTACTCGAGATGCGGGCACTCTTGTGAGGCAAACAGGAGTCTGAAGAGTTCTGGGGCAAGACTGGAGACTGCTCTTCGTAAGGCATGAAACATCCTGCAAGCAGCGGGGACCCTTTTCCAGGTATTCTCAATAGTTTTGAGGTAAAGAAACATAATTACTCCGAGGTCCCTTTCCTAGCAACATTTTGAAGCAAGAAATCTCTAACTTTGTACATACAAAATGGTTCACGAGCACCAATCAGAAGTATGGAACATTTATCCCGGTTGATAGGTAACTGCCATTTTACCGACCAGTCGTGGAGCCTGTCGAGTGTTTCTCGGAACCTGGCTGCATCCTCTAGACTGGATACCTCACTCCAACCTTTCGAGTCCTCTGCCTAACTCAAACATTCCGTCTGCAGCTCGGACAGGAGGTCGTTAATGAAGAAAATGAAGAGTACAGGGCCATGGACAGAACCCTGTGGGGGCATCACTGATCATAGCGGTGGGATCAGAAACCGTAGCCTTCACATTTACCTTCGCAGAGCGGCTGTCCAGCAAACCTTAGATCCGGGAGAGAATATTTCCAACAACGCCTATTCTGCAGAGTTTGAAAAGCAGCCGCTCACGCGTAACCTTGTCAAAGGTCTTGCTAAAATCAACAAAACGACATCCAATCAGTTACCAACATCCGGAGCTCTCAACCATTTCTCCCTCGCTACAAGGAAGTTTGTGGTGCCTGAGCGTGCGCTTCGAAATCCACTCTGGTCACAACAGATAAAATCTATTTTTTGTGATGGAGGCAGGGCGCAGGTTTTAGTCACCGTTACATAAGTTTGCACACTGCAGTTGTAACACAAATAGGACGATAATGCCCTGGGGCTTGTCGGTTCCTCTTTTATACATAAGCTTGCTAACGCCCTATTTCCAGGCATCCGGAAGACCACCAATAACAAAAGACAGACGGAATATCTAAGAGATAGGTGTGGTAATGTACTCGGCTACTGTTTTAAGGAACCATGTATGTGGGCTATTAAGGCCAGGGGACGATTACGGATTTAAAGTACGAAATGGCTACAGTACAAAGCAGCGTTAATATCCAAGCGCTCTAGCAAGTGAGGAAGAAATGGCAAGATGCTGTCATGCGGAGACGCTTTGTTGAATACACAGAAGAATAATGCTTAACTGAAAGGTTGGCTTTTTATATCTTCGTAAACTGAAGCAACATGCTTACTGGAATACAAGACAGGGATACCACTGCCGGCTCTGCAACTCCGCTGGATATACGGGAAAAGCGCTTTGGATGTGGTCCTGGAAAGGGTAGCTTACGGCAAGTTGTTTAGTTAACGTCTCTACTGTTTCCGCGGTACAAACCTGCCTGATGGTTTTATAGCGAGAATTATAGTGGTCTGATCGTGGTAGCTTAAAACGGTTCCACAGTTTATACCTTGTTTATAAAGTAGCTTAACTGACGATCTATCCAAGGTGGGCTTTAAGAAAACAGTCTTCTCTTGGAGACGGGGAAGATCTATTTGATGAGCGGCGTCAGCTTGGAGTACAAAAGATGCCAAACATCGTCAACCCTGTGGTGTCCAGGGATATTCCAATCCACAGCGCTTGCAGCCGTTTCCCAATGAATTGCACCCACACGCCAGAAATTTCCACGGTCGGTACATTGGCTGTAGACAGCGAAGCGACGAGTCCACTTTAAAGAAACAGCACAGGGATCACTTTGGCCAATGGGCTTGAGAACAGCTAGGTTTGTGATGTCTGAATGCGCTGGGGAAAGCACAAATTCCAGTATGCGCTGTGTCTGGTTTGGGAAACTACGAGTTGGCGTCATACCAGCTTGAAAAAGGTTGCAATCCAGGACGGTTTTAGGTATGGCACCAACGAAGTGAGCGGATGGGCGGACACAAATAAGGAACTTCCAATCGATATCTGTTGCATTGAAATCCCCATGATAAGGCAGTTCTTGCGTATACCGCGCGGCCTGAGCAAACCTAAGGAACTAGCCCCGGAGCATGATGGCGCCCTGTAGACGACAGAGTACAAAAGAGCTCAATATCCGTCGTGTACATGGCACCAGAGGTCTAATATTCGTTAGTATGACCGAACGCGTTTTGTGAGCTGCTTTTCAGTAGAGCATTACGCCACCACCAGGCCTTCAGCAGTGGCGCTGGGACCAGTTGAGGTAATATCCAGGGCTCGACACTTCTGAGTCCGTGCTTGCCGCGAATAGCCACGTTGCATTGAAGGTCAGCAGGGCTGTGTGCGTCTCTGATGGAGGTCGTCCGGATTATTCCTTAGGCTTTGCAGGTTAGCGGATAACAGGCGCAGTCCATTCTTGTTATCTACTGTCCGTGGGTGACGAGAGTTGGCATCTAACTGGCTTTCGGAATCCTACGAAATACACGAAAATCCACATGCCGGAAGTCTGTTCCAGCAATTTCCCGTCTAGCACGTAGCTCCTCTACAGCGTTTTTCCTTTTGCTTCAATCCTCCGGGGAAAGGTAACGAAGTACTT